ATCCCCAGCTATGGGGCGTGGTGGTGGTGGGGGATTGGGCTGGGGGAGGGGATCCCCAGCTATGGCGGGGTGGCTGCCTGTAGTCACAGGATCCGTGTAATCCCATGTGCTTTCACCGGTGGTGCCTGGGATTCCTGCCATGTTCCCACAGGATGATCAGGGGCGCAGAGCTCCTGTGGGTACTGATGTCCATACCCTGAATGGCAGCGTGTCCCCCTGGCTCACCCCGCCCATCTCTCTGGCAGGGCTTGGGCTGTCTAGCGCCATGGCCTCCCGTGCGGGCCCCCGGGCCGAGGGCACTGATGGCAGTGACTACCAGCATCGCGAGAGGGTGGCCTCCCATTACCAGATGAGGTAGGTCTGAGTGCAGGCTGGGTTGAGCCCCCGGGCCCCATTCCGGGTCCCTGCCCAGTGAGCAGGGGCAGAGTGCAGAGCCGCCCAGCTGGACTGAGCTGGTGTCCGTGAATGGCTGGGCGTTCCCTGGAGTATGTCTGTCCCCAGGGCACTGTGTGCTGGGATTCAGGGGGTCGCTGGACCTGTCTGAGGCCTGAAGGTCCAAGCTGGGGCTGGGTGTGTGTGTCCGGGGCAGGTCTGTTATGCTGCAGTGCAGCCTCCCCCCTGCCCAGCCCATGGTGCTGTGCACACCAGCTCTGGGTCACGAGCAGCTCCCACCAGAGTGAGCATTGCAGGCTGGTGCCCGTTGTCACGGACTCACAGATCGTGCCCACTCTTGTCCCCGTGCGGTCCGTGGGGGGTGCCCCTTCCAGTGCGACAGCCCTTCTCGGGGGTCCACTCTCTCTCGGGGTCAGGCCCCTTCACCTCTTGGAGCCGCACCTCTCGGAGCCTTCGCATGTCTGTCTCTGTCGTGGGCCCCCTCAGGGAGTCCACTCGCTCTGGACCCCCGGGGCCTCCACCCCCGAAAGGGTTGATGCAACCCTGTTCTCTAGACTGGAGTGACTCTCAGACAGCATAAAACAGGAGGGTTTATTGAGAGTTGAACACAGCACAGGAAACTCTCAGGGCCTCAGGCCTGGCCTCCCTCAGCCCAGCACATCCCAGTCTCCCTGCATCCAGGTGGGCTCTGCCTGCTCCCCCTCTCCAGCCCAGAGCCCCCTGCTCCCAGCTGGGCATCTGAGATCACCAGCACCAGGCCCCGCCTCTGTCCATTGTCTTCTCTCCAGGTAAACAGGGTTGTAAACCGGGGCCTCCTCTCCTCGCTTCTGTCCTCTGGCTGGAACCGTCTGGTTAGGTCACTGGGTCCTCACTCTGCAGCCCATTGTCCTCCCACTGACCAGAACCGGCTGCGTCTCCTCAGCTGGGCCTCCGGGTCACCAGGTCACCGGTCGCTGGAGTATCCATCCTCCCGGCCATCGGCTGGGTCCCCGAGTCCTCTGTCCAGTCCTCTGCAAAACACACTCCCTCTCCCCTCACCTCGTTAAACCAGTAACACCCAGGGAAACTGAGTCCCACCCCCTCTGCATGCAAACCATTGAAAACTCCACAGAAAACAAGAAAAACCCCCACTTTGTCACACCCTGCCCCCGCCAGGGGTGTTCCCTGCACAAACCAGGCTGCTTGTGGCTTTGGCTGGACGGGGGCAGAGGCCAGAGAGCGTCCAGGCTGACCTGCAGCTTCATTCTCTGTTGTGCTGTCCCGGAGCACTCTGCCCCCAGCCCCAGTCAGGGGGGGAGGCCCGTCCATCTGCCAGGGGAAGCGGCTCAGTCAGGCTTCATACCCAGCAGCTGCTTCCCGCTGGGACCTACTCAGAGGAATCTGCCCTTCCTGCCGGGGCTCACCTGCTCCGTAGCCTTCAGGCTGGTGGTGCTCCAGGATCACGCCCTGCTGGTGCCTTCGTCAGTACCCCAGCGAGACACGTGCTGCCGGGGCTGGTTTGCAGCCTCGCTCTGTTGGGGTCCTGGGTTCAGGCTCTGTCCACAGCTCTTGCCAGCCCGGCTGCCATCTCTCCTGCCTCTGAGTCCTTCCTGCCCCTCAGGCAACGCTAGGGAGCCCATCGAAGTGCGAGCCTGAGCCTGGCTTTCTCCCTCTCTGCAGTGTGGCCCTGAAGTCCGAGATAAAGAAGCTAATCTACATGCAGGTGGCCATCTGGCTGCTGCTCCTGGCCCAGATGTGCGTGGGTCACCTGAAGCTGCTGCCCCATGACCAGGTGGCCATGCCCTACCAGTGGGAGTACCCCTACCTGCTCAGCATCATCCCCTCTCTCTTCGGCCTCATGTCCTTCCCCCGCAACAACATCAGCTATCTGGTGCTGTCCATGATCAGCACAGGCCTGTTCTCGGTGGCACCCCTCATCTACGGCAGCATGGAGATGTTCCCCATGGCGCAGCAGCTCTACCGCCACGGCAAGGCCTACCGCTTCATCTTCGGCTTTTCTGCCGTCTCCGTCATGTACCTGCTGGTGGTGGTGGCGGTGCAGGTGCACGGCTGGCAGCTCTACTACAGCAAGAAGCTCCTGGACTCCTGGTTCAGCAGCACGCAGGAGAAGAAGAAGAAATGAAGCGGGACTGGGAGCCACACACCTGTATGACTGGCGGGGTGGGGGGGGAGGATGCTGCCATCCCCAGGGGGCTGGATGGCACCATGGTGGGGGTCCCCATTTTTGGGTAGCTCTACTGGCAAACACTCAAAGCTCCCTATAGACTGGGCTGCCCTGCCAGGCACCCCAGCTGGAGTGTGCTCAGGGCCCCTCCAGCCCTAGCCCTGGCTGGCAGTGACTGACCGTTCTTCAGTGGCTGGTGGGCCAGGGCTGGGTAGGGGGGCAGCTCCTGATGCGACCAGGGTACCCTCACCAGAAGTCCCCTGGCAGCACTTGGCTCTCGTGCCTCTGCCCGGTTGGCTGGGATGAGAGGGGCGTGCAGGATGGGAGTGGCCCGGGGGCAGCCATCAGCCCTTCCTGATCTCCCCATTTCATGGAGCAGAAAGGTGCCCTGACTTGTGCCGCTGCCCTGAAGTCTGACAACATGGCACAGCCCCAGGACTGCAGACGGTTGGCACAGCGCTGCCCACTCCCACAATGGCTTGTGCTGTGCTGGGCCAATGTCTGTGTCTGAGGCCCAGTCTGCACCAGTGCCCTGCCCGGATTGCCCTGGGGGCATGCAGGGCCCTCCCTTCCCCCGCAGGTGGGTGAATTCCATGCCTCTGCCTGGGAAGGAGCAGCTCCAGGTCACCAGAGAGCCAGTGGTCACAGGCCAGGGGCCTCCCAGCCCCCAGTGCCGCTGGCTGCGAGAGGGGCTGGGCTGGGGCAGAGGGGCCGGAGGGGAGTCGGGCCGGGCCCCGCCCCCAGCACTGGCACAAGCTGCTTCTCCCACGTGGAGTGACCAGAAAGGATGAAATAAAGAGCCACCTTGCTGAGCAAGCAGCCTCCAGCATCTGTCTGCCGGGGGTGGGGGAAGGGCAGGTATCCTCGCTGCCCTGGGTTGATTTGTGTCCCCCCGAGTCTGTCCTGCTGTCGGGTCCCCAGAGCCCCCAGGGATGGCAGTGCCTAGACCCCTGCTGATCTGCCCCCCCCCCAAGCGTGTTCGTCCTCCCAGCCCCCGTCTGTGACCCGCTGAGAGATGAGCCTGTTGCCCCCCCTGAAAGCCAGCCATGGCCCCAGGTGGCTCCTGTCCCTACGCCCGGGCCCTGGCCAGCCTTTCAGGTGCTTGTTGGGCCCTGGCCTGGTGGGACAGGGGCGTTGGGCACAGGCTGGTTTGCCCTGAGGAGAGAGGCCTGCTCCTACCACCAGCTGTGCACCCCGCCTCTTAGGGAGAGCAAACCAGGCCCAAGGCTGCCTGCTCCTGCCCCATTGCCAGGGGCTCTGCCTGTCCCAGTCGCTGGGGCGAGGGAGAGCCTGTGTCAGCAGCCATTAGAGGGAGCGCCCTGGGGGGCTGGGGACGAAGGTGGTCCCGATCTGGGGGGGCACTATAGTGACAGGCCAGAGAAGAGGCTGTGGGGCCTGGGTGAGGAGGGACATGCCTGTTGTGGTGCTGGGGTGACCCTGCCTTAGGGGGCAGTTCTTTGGGCCGTGCCTTGGAGTGGTGGGGGGTGATGGAGCAGAGTTCTGCCTTGGTGCCATGGCATCTGCTTCTGCACCTGGGGGCAGGTCCTGATCCTGTGTCTGCTGCTGCCCTTGGAGGGGTCCGTTGCTGTGTGCCCCTCCCGCAGACCCATGGGCTTTGGGACCGGCTCTGGGGGCCCCCTGCAGCGAGCCAGAGCCCCAGGGGTCCCACTCGGGCCTCTGGGCTCCATCCCACTGCTCTAGCCCATGAGCTGTGCCCAGCGAGTGCCCGAGACAGAGCCGGGCAGAGACTCGTACCACCCTAGGGAGCAGGGCCCCTCTGCCAGCACCTGCAGAGACACAGCCAGGCTCATCAGTCGCCTCGCCCCAGCACAGGCAGCCCTGGGGGAGCCTCCCGCACAGCCCAGCCAAGCTGTAGGGACCCCCTGGGCTCCCCCTCTGTCTGATCCCCTGCCGGACTCCCAGGGGTGCCCTCCCGCTTCCCCGCAGCCAGTGCTTAACCACCCCCCGCCCGCCCCCTGTTCCCAGCTGGGGAGCTGCAGCTCCAGGCTGGGGGTCTTGGTCCCTCGGGGGTCCTGGTTGCTAGGTGCCGGATTCCCCATTGCCTTCCCCATGCGCCACTGCTAGGGGGACTAAGGCCCAGGCAGCCTGGGGACCCCCTCCCTCTGTCTGCTAGCCTGCCCCAGAGCACACAGCCCTCCCCCTGCCTGCCACGAGGCAGCAGAGGGGAAACTGAGGCCCGCAGGCTTCATACCACTAAGTGATGCTGGGGGCTGGGCTGTTCGCTTTCAAAGGCGGGGCTCCCCTGCCAGCTCTGTGCGGGGGGGGGGGGCAGCACCCCCGGACAGAGCCCAGCTGCCACGTGAGGGGGAGGCTGCCGCTGCACGTGCTGCCCGCGCGTGGGCTCCCTGCAGGCCGCCGCAGTCTCACAGGAAACCTGAACTAAACCAGGTCAACCGCCGTGTCCCCATTACCCTGCGGCGGGGGCGGGGACAGCGGGGGGGTGACGGAGCTTTCGGGGGGGCAGCGGGGAGACGGAGCTTTCGGGGGGCAGCGCCCTGGGGCGGGGGCAGCGGGGAGACGGAGCTTTCGGGGGGGCAGCGCCCTGCGGCGGGGGGGGGGCAAGGTGGGGAGACGGAGCTTTCGGGGGGCAGCGCCCTGATCCGCGGGCTGCTGGCGATAATTCTCACCAGCATGTACTGGGCCTGGGGCTCCCCCGTGGGAACGCGCCCCCCCCCTCTCCCCCGGTGTTTGTTGCTCTGAGGGTCCCAGGCCTGGCCCCAGGGTCCCGGCTGCCAGGAAGCGGGTGTTAGCTGCCCTGCTGCTGGGGACAGCTCCTGGCAGACACCTCGGTGCCAGGTCCCTGGCAGGGGCCACCGCCCGCTCTCCTGGGGAGTTGTGTCCCCCGGCACCAGCTGTGCCCCCTGCCGCCGAGTGTGAGCAGAGCTCGGCACCCCCCGCCCCGGGCAGCCCATCCTGCCGCCCATCCCCGCCGCACCTGGGCGCCCGCCAGGTATCTGGCACCAGCACAGCCGGGGCGGGGGGCGCCCCCCGCGATCCGGCCGAGAGGCAGAGCCCGGTGCGGGGCTGCCGGGGGCGGAGGGCCCCGGGGGGTGGCTCCCGCCCCGCCCCGCCCCGCGATGATGAAGCGGGGCGGGCAGGAATGCGGCCGAGCCGGCCGGGCCGGGTGCCGTGTGCGCCCCGCGCAGCCATGCGCCAGCCCCGCTGATGGGGCGTCCCGCGCCCTGCGCCCTGCTGCTGGCCGCCGTCCTGCTGCTGGCCGGGCCCCGGGCCGGAGCGCCGCGCCCCCGCGTCACCGCCAACTTCGTAAGGCTCGGGCGAGGGGTGCGGGGGGCTGCGGGGTCCCGGGGCCGGAGCCGGGGGTTCATCCCGGCAGCCACCCGCTCCCAGAGCCCCGGCGGGCACCCAGCGGCGAGGGGCCGGGCCGGGGAGTCCGGGCAGCTCCGTGCCCCGCTCGCTGGCCGGGCCCTCCCGGGAGCTGGACGAGAACCAGCCCTGGCTGGGCCGGGGCCCCGGGACACTGAGGCCGGGTCAGGGGGCGCTTTGGGCGCTGTGATCCCCGCGCTGGGAACGGGGGGCCTCGGGGAGCGGGGGGTAACGGGATTTGGGGCGCGCGGTTGTAGGGAGCGAGGCCGCCGCTGGGCCCGGCCTGACCCACCTGTAGGAGTTGGGGGAGCTGGGCTGGGTCCGGGCCGCTGCAGAGCCTAGGGTGGGTTGTTTGTGTTCCGTGGGGCGAGCGGCGCCCGGGCCGGGGCTCCAGGGTGGGTCGGTAGCGGGGGTGCAGAGTAGGGTGGCCAGATGAGAGGAAGAAAAGATCGGGACACGGGGGTCCGCCGGCGGAGCGAAATATCGGGACAAACAGCTAAGAATCGGGGCGGTTCCCGGTCTGGTCACCCTCGTGCAGAGAATAGGGCTGGCCGGGGGGCAGGTGCAGTAACGAACCGGGCTCTGTCATGAGGAGGAAATGGCTGGTCCAGCCGCTAGCGAGAAACGGGGCAAAGTGAGACCAGGACAAAACCGGGAGGGGGAGGGAGCCACCGCCATGAATCTGCCTTGGCTGGGCCCCAGGGCCGGGGTCAGCGCTGCATGGCCGGGGCGGGGAAGCGCCGCAGGGTTAGAACCTGCCTTGCAGTCACAGGGGCGAGGGGCTCAGTCTGGTGAGCGCCCCACGAGCCGGCCCGGGGCGAGGGAGCCCAGCCTGTCCCTGCCCCTGCCCCACGGGAACAGAGCGTGGGCGATGGGCTGTTGGCTCCGGCAGCGAAGGGGAACCCGGCCCTGGGGCTGGAAGCTGATCCCAGGCAGACAGGGAATGAGGCGAGTTTGGACGGGGAGGGTTTCCTGGGGCAGGGCCCGTGGGGGATTCTCCATCCCTGGCCATGGTTCAGTGCGGAGCGGGTGTTTGCCAACAGCTCTGCTCGAGGGGCTCCAGGGGGCAGGTCTCTGCCTCGCTGGGCAGGGGGCCAGGCATGGGGATCGCGATGGTCCCTGCTGGCCTGGGGACTTGGGACTGAAACGTGGGCAGCAGGTTAAAACGGAGGAAAGGATCCGCTTCTTTACACTGGGTGTAATTAGCCAGTGGAACTTACTGCCACATGGAATCCTTGAAGCCAAGAGCGAGCTCGGGGACACTTGTGTGAAGAATGGGGGTGCCCGTGGTTACACCGGGAGCGGAATCAGTGCGTGGGCAGGGCACACACTGCCGGGGCCAGGGGAGCGTTCCAGAAATGCCAGGGGGGCTCCTGTTCCTGCCTGGGAGCAGCTGGTGCTGGGTACTGCTGGGGAGGGGGGGAAAGAGGGGTGGATTCCCTGGGGTCCCCATGTGGGGGAGGGGGTGGATTCCTCACTACAGGTAAAAAGAACAGGAGGACTTGTGGCACCTTAGAGCCTAACACATTTATTTGAGCACAAGCTTTCGTGGGCTACAGCCCACTTCTTCAGATGCATGCAGTGAAAAATACAGTCGGAAGATATAGATATAGATATATACACAGAGAACATGAAAAAATGGGGGTTGCCATACCAACTCTAACGAGACTAATCAATTAAGGTGGGTTATTATCAGTCCGGTTTGGCCAATGTACATGGCAGAGGGGCATTGCTGGCACATGATGGCATATATCACATTGGTAGATGTGCAGGTGAACGAACCCCTGATTGTGTGGCTGATGTGGTTAGGTCCTATGATGGTGTCCCTTGAATAGATATGTGAACAGTCTCTATGCAAAAGAATAAATGGACACAAATCAGACGTCAAGAATTATAACATTAAAAAACCAGTCAGAGAACACTTCAACGTCCCTGGTCTCTCTATTACAGACCTAAAAGTCGCAATTCTCCAACAAAAAAACTTCAAAAACAGACTCCAACGAGAAACTGCAGAACTGGAATTAATTTGCAAACTGGGCACCATTAAATTAGGCTTGAATAAAGACTGGGAGTGGATGAGTCATTACAAAAACTAAACTATTTCCCCGTGCTAATATTTCCCCTACTGTTACTCACACCTTCTTGTCAACTGTTGGAAATCCTGATTATCACTACAAAAGTTTTTTTTCTCCTGCTGATAATAGCTCACCTTAATTAATTACTCTCGTTACAGTTGGTATGGCAACCCCCATTTTTCATGTATCAGGGGGTAGCCGTGTTAGTCTGTATCTACAAAAACAAGATACCGTGTTAGTCTGTATCTCTATCAGCAAAAAGAACAGGAGTCCTTGTGGCACCTTAGAGACTAACATTTATTTGAGCTTTCGTGGGCTACAGCCCACTTCATCAGATGCATGCAGTGGAAAATACAGTAGGAAGATATATATACACAGAGGACGTGAAAAATGGGA